TCATACTGGAGCCAAAAGTCACCCGGGCGTCCAACTTCAGGGCCACAGTCCCTTCTATTCGCTCGGGTAAACCTGACTCACTGTCACGCACAGAATGTCCTGCCCAAGTAATGCTGACTTGCCATCAGTTGCAATGGGGTTAGCGTTCTCAACTTCCCCTGGGCATTTTCTCATGACCATCTACCTGCGAAAACAAAGATCATCCACCAGGGATGTAGAGTACGCAGTATCAGCTGCACCTTTGGGAGGATTTCCTTGACAGCTGCAACTGAAATATCCCAAATTTCCTCACCTGACTATTGAGCCAGAGAGGTGCATGTAGGTGTATATATGTATGTCCTCTGCACACATACGTCGATACAAAAGTTGCATGCATTTGGAGTCAGGAGTATAGATTTACAACTGGACTATACGAAAACCACTTTTGATCTGACCTGTGCTAGCTGTCCCGGTTTTACTAGAGCTTCCCGCTCCCTCACAGGCTCTGGAAAGGAAATGTATGCAACATCGCTCTTCTTCTGTGGCAACAGATTAGCACTAGCGTTGTCAGAGCCTTACCTAGACACTGGCCTAATCCACACGCTGCTCCCCTATCTCGGAGCTGCTTTTAATGTTGCTAACACTAGAACACTCGGAGACCATCTGTATCAAATATTGTTACGGCGAAAATCTAAGCAGCGTCTTTGTCTATACACTGTGGGGTTCTTGCACCTCGCTTTCTTTTCATTGAGGTTAGCCGCGTTCCTCGTCCTCACAGCTCATGGCTTTTATAATCGCTTCCACCTGAGTTGCAGCATCGTCCCAATGCTCTTTTGAGAATATTCTTATTTTATCAATGTATATGACACACAAGGCCAATCCGGCTCCCTTCCGTCTCGGGGATTACTCGTCTGAGTAAAGTGAGTAAGATTTGTTCTAGTAAGGACAATCTATGTCATTCACTTTTACTCCACCCCTTTAAAAGAAGCTTTCGGGGTAGCTTTGTTCCTTCTATCTCCCTTCTATAAAACAGCCAAGTTATTTCTGTAGACTAAAAATGCATTTCTACTTTTGCTATAAATACTAGTTTGGTGCTCATTACAAAGTTGAAAATAAACTGAATGTAATGACCGAGGCGAGAGCTGCTAAACTTTCCTGTGAATGAGGCATTTCCTTTTTTTTTTTTTTGGCTTGTGTGCAGTTTGAGATACTGGATTCAAACTTTCTTTTAAAAAGCATGTTACCTAAGAGGCCTGTTTCATTTTATGTTGATGATTCGTCACAGCGGGTGTCTAATTTTTCCGCCCAATTGCTGCAATCCGTATTTAGACTTTACGAGAGACTTGCTACAGTAAGCAATACAGCATCTCTCCTGCTTTGTATGTCTGAGCAGGACTAGAAACTCACCTGCTGAGCTTCCCAGTAACACTTAAACTATGCCCTATGATAGGATGGGCGTAGGGAATATAATCTCTAATACGATTTTGGGTGCTCACATTTTTCCTACTTGTGCAGTTGGGAGTTTTGGGAAATCATTGGGAGTTTTGCTTTTAACTTCAATTAGAGCCAGATTGGATCCAAGACGCGCACTTCCCCACTTCAGTGATCTTAAAGCTTCTATTACTCTAGTCTAGAAAAGCAGCCATTTTTTATAGAAAATGTGTCTTAAGTGTGACTATTTTCTGGACTAATGTACCAAAGAATGTTAAAAAATAAAGACACCGGAATTTGAGGGTTCCCCTCTCTCTTTACGCATAGGAAGGGGACTGGCTTTGATTTCGTGTTGCTATCCCTGCAATGTTTTCATTGGAAACACAAACTTTAACAGGGACAGTTTATGGGTATGAAACTTATTCTGTGAGGCTTAGATGAAGCTGTGGAGTGGGGGTTCTCTTGTATAGTAGCTTTCGAGACTGAATAAATGCACACGACTCTCTTTGCAAGCCTTTTTAGTATCAGGGAACTGCGGTGATTGATCGCGTCGAAACTATTTCAAACTAGTTTATATCATGGGGTCCCTTAATTTTTTTCGCAAAAAGAACGTGGACATTTTCCCTCTTCCCTATTAATGACAGTCCTTGGACAATGTATAACACAAAGCAAGAACAGCATCATTTAAAGCATATGAAAAGAT